GCCTCCCGCGCATCTGGGACTACAGGTGCCCGCCACCTCGCCCGGCTAGTTTTTTATGTGTTTTTTAGTAGAGACGGGGTTTCACTGTGTCAGCCAGGATGGTCTCGATCTCCTGACCTTGTGATCCGCCCGTCTCGGCCTCCCAAAGTGCTGGGATTACAGGCTTGAGCCACCGCGCCTGGCCAACCATCAGTTTTTGATGTCACCTTGCCACCTGGTGACTAACACTTCCTCCTGAACACCTGAGCGTAGAGTTGTCTGTTGGTCTCGCAGCCCCATCCTGCCCGGGACACCAGCCGCCCACCCCTGTGGGTGCCTGTGGGCCTCTGGCCTTTCCTGTCCTGCGGTGGTGGGGACGGAAGGATCTGGGGCAGCAACTTCCTCTGAGGCCCCGCCCAGTGGCAATGCTGGCATCATCATGAAGTCCATCCTGTGTGGTACGCAGCATCCCTGCTCTGGGCCAGTGGTAACCCCAGTTGTGACAATGAAAATGTGTCCAGACCTTGCTTGATGTCCGCTGGGGGACGGTCACCCTGCAGGACGGCTGTTGCTGAGTGCTCACAGATGTGTGTCCGCAGCAGCTGACTCTCCTTCACACCCCCTTCCCGAGGATGCGGCGGCAGGCCACGCCCCTCCAGGTGTGAGACCTGCAGAAAACCCTCCTCGTGGGGTTGGGATGGGGGTGCAGGGGGTGTTGGTGATTTCTTACCCCATGGGCCTCCCCCGCATGTGCCCCAGACTTTGTAGACAGGGCCTGGTCAGTGGCTGGATGTTGACCAAAAGTGGAATATGTCTGTGTTTTTGTCAGGTAGAGCCAGGGTGCATTCTCTTTGGTTGTTTGCTTTTGTTTTAATCAAGGTTCTCTTTCTGCTGTAGGGCTGCAAGATTTAATAACCACAACAGGCCGGGTGCGGTGGCTCATGCCTGTAATCCCAGCACTTTGGGAGGCCGAGGCGGGTGGATCATGAGGTCAGGAGTTTGAGACCAGCCTGACCAACATGGTGAAACCCCGTCTCTACTAAAAATACAAAAATGAGCCAGGTGTGGTGGCATGCGCCTATAATCCCAGCTCCCAGCTACTCAGGAGGCTGAGGCAGGAAAATCACTTGAACCCAGGAGTTGGAGGTTGCAGTGAGCCGAGATCGCGCCATTGCACTCCAGCCTGGGCAACAAGAGCAAGGCTCCGTCTGAAAAAAAAGAAAAAAATAGCCACAACAACGTGTTTTTCTTTTTCTTATTTTCACAAGGGGTCGGGGTCAGGTTTGACCTGTTGACAACTCGGGTCTTCCCTCCAGGTTTGGATCGTTTGAGATTTTTAAGTCCGCAGATGAGCACACAGGGCGTGCAGGCCCCAGCGTGGGGAGGAACGACATTCGCGTGCAGCTGCTTGACTATGTCATCAGCTCCTTTTACCCTGAGATCCAGGCTGCTCACGCCAGTGACCGCGTGCAGAGAAACGCTGCCTTCTTCCGGGAGGTCAGTGGGCTGCAGGCCGCCCCTCCCTGTGGGTGGGTGCTGGGTGTTCTCGCCTGTGCTGAAGATACCCTCATTGTGGCCGGGGGACAAAGGCTTTTACCCAGCCTCCCCGCCCTTCTCTGAGCTCCCCGTCCTGTCCGCAAACCCCATCACGTGTGCCCTGGGACAAACCTGAAACTCCCCTGGGCTCAGTGGCGTTGGGGGCCCTGGGCGTGCTCTCCTGCTGGTATCCCTGCAGGGCCAGCTCAGGGCGGGGGCGCGGGGTGGAAGCACCATGGGTGCTGGGCACCTCCCACGTGGGTCGACACGTCTTGATGCCCAGGGCAGCCAGTCGGGTCCTGACTGGGGAGATGCTGAGGGCCCGCCTTGGGTCTGGGTCCCTGCCCCACGGTCTGATGGCATCGTCCTTGTCACAGGGCATTCAGTGCACGGTGGGGGAACCCGGCACCTCACCTGGCTGGGCTGGGGGCCTGCAGCATCAGTGGGGTCAGACCAAGTGGGGGTTCGGGGGACGAGGCACAGCATCGTCTTTGAGAAGTCTCAGGCCATCCCTGGAGCAGCTGCAGCCAGGGCCGTGTGGGGACCCGCTTTGCCATGTGGCTGGAGGCTGTTGAGCTGCCGTCAGCAGAAGTGGGCCCGAGGCAGGTGCTCCTGGGGCTGTGTCCTGCCCCAGCTGCGTCCCTTCAGTCCACCCCAGCCATGCTCCGTGTCGGGGATGACGGGGCTGCAAAAGGCCGGGAGGAGCCGCTGGGGGCAGCCTGGTACTCCGGCATAGACAGCGTGGGTGGTCAGGGCAGGTCACTCTGGCCCTCTGAGCCTCAGTCTTCTGCGAGGATGCAGGGAGGACAGCACTGCCTGCCTCCCAGGAGCGTTGGTGGCCTGGCAGGAGCGAGGCAGCGTCAGGCCTGTGTTGAGCAGGGTCAGTGGGGCCTTCAGTGCATCTTGGGGGCTCCTGGCCCCCGTTCGTTGGCCCCTATTCTCACGGTTGCCAGCGCTGGGCTGAGTGGGGACTGCTGTCTGGTTGGAGGGGCTAGGCCGGCAGGGTGGTGGTGGCACCAGGATGGACAGTGGCCTGGCCCTGGGGCAGGTGCGGCCCCTTAGTGAGCTGACCCTTCCCTGCTTCTTTGGGGTCTCTACTGGGCCTGCGTCTGGGGTTCCCTGATTTTTCTAGTTTGGGTAAAAGCCAAGTTTTGTGAGCATATAAAAGAGTGGATGCTGTGAGTGGGCTTGAGAAACCTTGACACACACTCTGCATTGCCACACTGTGGTGGAGGCGGTGACAGGACATCGGGACACATTGCCCAGAAGTACCAGAGTGAGAGTCACTCAGCGAAGCACAGCTGGTTTCCGGGAGGGGAAGGATGGACACGAGTTGGGGGGTCTGGGCAGGACCCGGAGGAGGGAGCAAGCACGCTGTCCCGCCCCCAGGTGACGCGGCGCACGGCGTGGATGGTGGCTGAGTGGCAGTGCGTGGGCTTCTGCCACGGCGTGCTCAACACCGACAACATGAGCATCCTGGGGCTCACCATCGACTACGGGCCCTTCGGCTTCCTGGACAGGTAAGTGGCTGGGGGGTGCAAGCTGCATGAAGCCTGCTGCCCCGAGGCACTGGCCCATGATGCCGACGGGGGCTGGGGGCTGATGGAGGAAGTAGAGAGTCCAGGGCAATCCCGGAGGCCTTGGGCGGAGGCTGTTGAGACAGGACCCCTGTGGGACAGGGCCAGAGAGCCATGGCCACGTGGGAACTTCCTCTGGGCCTCCCCTCCAGGGTGCCTGCACCATCTCCTGGGAACTTCCCCTCAGGCAGGGCGTGGCTCTCTTGCCCTGTGTGGCAGGTACGACCCTGACCACGTGTGCAATGCCTCCGACAACACCGGCCGCTACGCATACAGCAAGCAGCCGGAGGTGTGCAAGTGGAACCTGCAGAAGCTGGCCGAGGCCCTGCAGCCAGAGCTGCCCCTGGAGCTGGGCGAGGCCATCCTGGCCGAGGAGTTTGATGCCGAGTTCCAAAGGCACTACATGCAGAAGATGCGCAGGAAGCTGGGCCTTGTGCAGCTGGAGCTGGAGGAAGACAGGGCGCTGGTGTCCAAGCTCCTGGAGACCATGCACCTGACCGGTGAGTGACCCAGCTGTGCCCACAGCGAGGCGCTTCCTGTGCTATTGTGGTTAGAGATGGTTTACCTTCCAGCTTCCAGTTTCCAAGTGCACAGTCACTCCCTGGGCCCGCCCCAGCCCCTGGCACCCCCATTCTACTCTCTGTCTTTATGGATTTGGTGAATCTAGGGGCCTCCTGCGAGTGGAATCATATGGTGTTTGTTCCTTGGTGACTGCTTATTTCACTTAGCAGAAGGTCCTCAATGTTCATCCAGGTTCATATCAGGATTTTATTCCGTTTGAAGTCTGAGAAGCATCCCGTTGCGTGGACAGGCCACAGTTTGCTTATCCATGACCTACTGGCGTACACGCTCCTCTTCTGGCTGTTGTGTACGGTATATTGTGTGTTGTGTGCAGTGCTGCCGTGAAAGTGAGTGCAAAGCTCTCTGATGCCTGCTCTCAGTCTCGTGGTGTACAGTTGGTAGGACTGCTGGGTTATGTGGATCACTCACTGGGGTGCCCTAGCTAGGACGTGGATATTGAATAGAAGTAGCTGAGATGGGCATCTTTTTCGTGTTCCTAACCTTCGGGAAAAAGTGTTTGGTGTTTCACCCGTTGAGTGTGATGTTAGCTGTGGGCTTTTTAACATACAGCTTTTGCCATGCTGAAGTTTTCTTTCAGAGTGCCTTTACCATGAAAGGCTACTGCATTTTATCAAACGCTTTTTCCTGCAATGAAGATGGTGATGTGATTTTATTATTTCACTCATATCTCCTTGCATTCTGGGGATAAATTTTACTTGGTCCTTTTAATATGCTATATAATTATTATTTTTTAATATTTTTTGAGACAGAGTTTCACTCTCGTTGCCCAGGCTGGAGTGCAATGGCATGATCTTGG